CTATTCATGCCAGCAGCTAAGAGGTCGAAAGGTTTCTGAAGTTCACAGGCTCAGAGCCTTTGTTATGCTAACAGACAATCTCAAATCAGCTGCCTAGTGGAGTGTGAAATATAAATGATTCCTTGAGAACTTCCAATAAGTTGTCACTCTTGCTCTCCAAATACCGGGACAGGCTGCTAATTTCTAGCAGGCCCTTTTGCAACATCGCTAGCCCTAAATGAATGCCTTTGTAGTTCAAATAATCTTTTCAAGGGAGCTGTCCTATCATCATAGCCCAAATGCATCTTGGTTTTGACTATTAAATGAAAATCAGAGCTCAGCAGTGCTTGACTTTTCCAAGCAGCCCGATGTTTGGGAAGGGTGGTGGCAGCTCTCATGCACAACAAGTTAGCACCCACTGCAGGAGGGCAGGGGCATTAATAACAGTGCAAGGCCCCAGGAGCTACCCAAACTCTCACCCCCACTCTCTACCAGGAACAATGCACTGGGAGAGATTTACGTGGCTTCCCTCAGGCTAGACTACCTTCCTCTTTCAGCCACACCAACATGTCTCTGATTTATGGACCCTCTGTCCAAGAGGACAGCCAGCTGACCTGCTAGCATCTGACTGGTCACTTCGAAGCATCAACTTTGGAGAGGGATGTATTCATTCTTCAGGGCAGGCAAGGCCAAGGGGAGGAGGGCAAGGTGTGTTCCAGGCCATGCCCCTGGTATCAGATGCTTGTGTATATTATTTTACCATTTTCCCATAAGGAGGATGCAAACATGGCTTATGATCTTGGGTATGACCCTTGAGCATGTCCAGATGGACAGAAAGAGGTTCTGGCTCCCTGAGTCCGAATTACAAAGCTTTTTAAATAAGGAAAACTGCTCCCCATTCCAAAACCAAGACAAGTTGCAGAGAGTGAGAATGAGAATCTATTTGGGAAAGCAAGCGTGTGCCCAGATTTAAACATTTTACTAAGAAAGGACAAAGCTAATTTATACCAAAAAAAAAAAAAAAAAAAAAAAGAAAAAAGGGAAAAAAAAACAAAAAAAAAAAAAAAAAAAAAAAAAAAGCATGCAAAGAGGAGGACAGAAACCAAAGAAATGAGAAATCCATTTCTATCGGTCTTTACAAAGGAAGGGGTTAAACCTTAACAGTTGTAACTTGGGTCCTAAAAAATATTGATATTTTTGATTCTATGTCCTCTGTGTCTTTGCTGAAATACTGAAAGGTATATGATACCACAGAAGTCTCTGTTTTTTCTAGACAGAGCAGGATTGATTTTTGGCAAGGAATGGGGGGAAGATCAAATGGGCTGTATTTCTTAATATATTCCTAAGGTAAGTTTATAAACATATAAACATACAAAGGCAATATATTTTAATACACCCTTAGGTAACTTTATAAATCTTGGCGATACAGCTCTACAGAAAAGCCAAGGGCCTCGATTCCCCTTCGTCGTTGTCTTCGTCTAACTATGTTTCAAAATACACCAACAATGTCTGAGGGAGTTCATTTTGATTGATACAGAAACTGGTTGAAGTGAACACTTTTTTCTGCTTTGGATTATACTAAGACTTACCCCTATGTGTTAATACACTAATTACATATAAAAAAGGGGTAGTGTAACTTACACCAATTTTGAAGTCATCCAGCTCTCATGTTTAAATATTACTTCTAAAAAAGCCAGAAAACAAAATATAATGGTAAAGGACTCTGGGATTCAACTCAGAGAATTTGGCCACCAGAATAGGAGAGAGTATTTAGGAATCAGGTCATTATTTGTGTTTCAAATCCTTATTTGTTTCACTCAGGAAAACAACCTGCAAATAATACTGGCTAGGAAAAAATCACTGACATTACTTCAGATTACTGACATTAAAGGAGTTAAAAAAAAATAAAGTTTGTGGTCTCTTCTGCCAAATGCCAGAATTAGATAATAATTTGTTCTGGATATCCTCACCCCCTTTTCAGAGGGCCTCAGGATTCTGGTTATCCTTATTTCAGAGCTAGCAGCATGATGGGCTTCAGATGCACTTCTCATTACTCACAAAACGGCAACGCTGGTAGCTCAAAGTTCGGCGGTGTGCCACAACTTGCTTAAATTTAACTTTTCATCCCCTCTCCGTTTACAAAATGTTAATTAATATGAAACTGTAAGCCTCTACATGTTATTGACACATGCTGGATATTCAAAGGAGAAACACCTTCTCTGTGCTTCCAAATACTTACTTTACCACTTCCAAGTGTCCTCTCTCTTTCCCGTCTTTAACACATCAAAACAGGGAAGAAAGCGCTTTTGTGTTATAACTACAGAGAAAACATTTGAGAATGTGTCAGTGCTGTGAATACCAGCAACAGTTTGGGGGTTGGTTTGTTTTTCCCCCTGCCGTGGTATTTCTTTTCCCTTTGCTTTCACAGTCTTTAAACTCTGGCCACTCTGAGAGAAGCAATGGTTGAAATGAAAAGTTAGGACAAATTGTATTAAACCTGTGTGTTGCTGGAATATGAGCATGATGAAAGCAGTGTCAGGGCACAACAGAGCCAGACCAGCTCTCCACACACAGAAAATTAAAATTAAAAAAATAAAAGCTGGTCTTTTTTGCTTTCTTAAAGACTTAAGACATAAGAGAAAGTGGGAAATTCCTATTTAAAAAAAAAAAAGCAAGTTTCCAGGGTTGCCATTTCTTCAGATTGGGGGGTGTCTGAATGCGTGTGTTTGTATGTGTGCATGTGAGAGTGTGTTTGGGGAGAAAAGAAAGAATGGGGGAGGAGGAAGGGCAGATAACTTTACTGACATATTAATTCTTTAGATAACAGTAAATGAATGGTCCAAATAGACATTTGTTTCCCCTAATAGGTTTTGTGCAGGTCTCTTACAAGCTGTGGCAAATGCTTCATTTATATGTATATTTATTTAGAAGGGTTGAGAAGAATAGGTGTAGTTTGTCTATAGTCGCAGTTATTTTTTAAAGTCCAAAGAGGTTACAACTTTTTTCTACCCCAAACACAAATACAAAGGTCTCTTGTATATGCTTCCTGCATTACTTTCAAGGCCAATTAAAAATAAAGATAATATTCTAACTCTCTCAAGCCTTGGGAAGAGAAAAGAGGCTAAAAGGCAAAAGGACTCCAAGATGGCTGCCTCTTCCTTCTTCCCTTCCTTACTGCCCGTTTTCCACATAGAAATTAATGTAATATTTTGGTTAGAAATCACATTGTAGGTCATTTGCAAATGAGGCAGCCTCGGAGGCACCAATATCTGCCTAGAAAACTCTCATGATGCCATGGAGGTATGGAGAGATGAAAATGCAAACATTCAAATGTATTTAGATTTGTACACAGTGACTGGACTCACATACATACACACTTGAATGTGTGAACAACACACACAGCTGCAAATGGAATAAAGGGCCGAAATCCTTCTTAATTCTTAGGACAGAAGAGAAAAGGAGGGCTCCAGGCCACCTCCTTCGTCCCCAAAGGTTCGAAAATGCCCTGTTCATGGTCTGGATTCAATTTTTAAAAAAAGATATATCTTACTGATGACTCTCTCATTAGGCAGACTTCTAAAGTCTGGGGAGGCAAGATTTCCATAAATTATCTCTCTAACTCATCTCATGCTGGTGTAAATGCAAAGCTAAAATTTTTTTTTTTTTGCATTTTTTTTTTAAAAGAATACTAAGCTAACCTGACTAACATGGTAAAGGATTAAGATGGCTAGTAATTACTGCTATTAATTATAATAAATATATATTCTCAATGATAAAATCCCACCCATAAAGCTAAACTTAAAATAATGTCGAGAATAAATAAAAGTATATTTGGGGCTTTATAACAGATTTATAGCAGGTTACTCTCTAGACTGGAGTGCACCAGGCATAGAACAAAGCAAATGGTTTAGTTCCTATAGGAAATATATTAAAAAGGAAAAAAAAAAAAAAAAGAAAGAAGCCCACAACCCTTTATCTAAAAGCCATCAGGGACAAGCACTCAATACAAGTTAACAAGCAGGAACTGATAAGATAACATTTATATGAGGTCAGAAGTCAAATGCCAGTCAAAGGCTTTTAACCTCTTGGGTCATAAACAGGAATAGTTAAAAGTGAGAGGTAGTTATTTATCGGATTTTAAGGGTACCTGATCATTGCCAGAGACTCACCAATGATGAAACTAATTAGGATTTATAGAAAAAGAACTTTGTAGCTGTTCAAAGAAAATTAACCTACAAACCCATAATTCTGCAATTGGTAGAGAGCAAAACAAACAAACAGAAAAAAACCCTTCTTTTGAGGGGGAAGAGAAATCTAGAAATTTAAACAGATTTAGTAACAAAATCTCTCTCAGAAACAATAATTTATAGTAACTGTATATACCAATTAATATGTGGTAAATGATAGACCTTATAAATTCTGTATTAACCATCTAACAACAAAAATAAGCATTACATAATTAATTTTCAATTTTTACCCTTTTTCTTTTACTCCCCCTTCAGACCTCTTAAATTAGGCAGGATATAACTCCGATATCACAATACTTCTTGCCCTCAGAATGCCGTCATTTATAAATTTAAAAATATATATGTATTCTAATGGCAATTATTTAAAAACATCAGAATATCGAAACTGCTTAATTAAAATGTTATCTTAATCTATCCAGAGAAACAGATGTCTCTTCCTTTATTTGCTGTCAGAATATTTTCCTTTGTTTTGATTTTTGTCCTTTTTGTCTTTTTTTTAGGTTCACATTCTAAACAGTTCCTGGTCTCAGAGTCCATGCTGGCTTATATTTTCAAAGCATACCACCCCCCTTTTTCACTTTTGCAATAAAAGAAAGCAGATCTAGATATTTCTTTCTAGAGATAGAGGGATTGTTGTTAGGCCTGCTAAGGCCCACTGTTTCTTTAAACAGAGTCCACAATACACTAGACGAACATTGTGGATTTAAAATGCTTTTAAATATTTATCAGAAGTATTTTATCATCATATTCAAATGACACCTGGAGTGCACTCACCTTTATTGACAATCTCTGTTCTGAAAGTCCATTTGCTTCCTTAAAGCCCCCCAAGCAGAACAAGGACTACCCGTTTTCATTCAGTTAATGTTTAGTAAAAAACCAAGCAACCTTAATCAGCATGCTGATTGCATCGTCAACTAACAAATAATTTACTACTCTGAGCATTGCATTCCATTAAAAGCTCATTAAATTTTCTGTTCTCCAATGGGAGGTTTAGCTTTTGAACTGCATGCTTTTGCTTCGAATGATCATTTATTCAATTTTTGCAAAATGTTGTGTTTGTTTTTTTTTTTTCCTAAAGTATAGGTGAGCATTTCAATACCTATAGACTGCAGACATATGGAAACACAGTACAGGGTTTGAGAAGGTTCCATTTGATTTATAGACTCTGTTTAATAAAAATTCAACATAATCTCTTGCACTTTTAGAAAATCCTGAAATCACTGAGTGTATCTGTGGTTATGTGTGACCCAAACGTAGCCTCAGAAATATTAATACATAATAGAAAATATCAAATCCCTTTTTTAAAAAAAAAAAGCTTAGATTTCCCTTTTCCACATATTATAGCTATTGTTATTTTTAGTATTTTTATCCTTGTAAATAGCTGTTTTCTCCTGATTCAAAAAGGAGCATGACACCACAAAGATCTTACCATATTTGATGCCAAACTTAATACCTCTGATACGTGTGTGGGGGGTAGCTAGTTACCCAAAGAAATCCACATTTCTTGGGGTTTACGCATTTTTTTACAAACTCATAATCCCCTGAATTATTTCCATGCCCTAGGAAAGAGTATATTTATTATTTTTAATTTAGGGACATGTAGGAAAATATCAGCCCCCAAATTAACATGCATCTTTGGATTGCTAATTGTGCTCATTGCAAATTTGGGTCATTTTGCATGAGTGACTCTAATGTAGGGCTGAGATTGCCATGCAGCGCGGTGGATTCCTGATTCCCCGCGCTAATCCTGAACTCGGTGATTGTGTCAGGTGCAGTTCTGTATGCTCTAGCAGCTGGCTCATCCTCATCAATGCAAATAAGGCAACTCCTACAATCAGAGCCTTGTGAGTGTGAGGCCTGATTGCTGAGGGCAGGCTAAAGCACTACACAGACTCTCACTTTCAAATCACTCTAAGTGACAAGACAACTGCAATGTCCCTCCAGTTCAAAATCAACCTTTTGAAAACAAAACAAGAAGAGGATGGCTACAAAGAAGAGGAAAACCCTAGTGTTTGGGAAATGGACTTGTTTAGATGGGCTTTATTTAGATACAGGGATAATCTAAAGCTCATTTCAACAAATAATTCTTTAGCTCCTCTTCTGTGCAAGATACTTTAAGGGTCACGGAGGTGCAGAGGTGAGGGAGACACAGTCCCTGCCTTCAAGGAACCCTGCCATTTGATGGCAGAAAATCCTGAAAAGGAACATAATAACATAATTATTATTAAGGTTCAGTCACCAAGATCTTAAATGAAAGCTGTGAAACATATTTTTACAGGAACTGTTCAGAGATGGCATTATGGCGCAGATGTCAAGAGCAAGACTTCCGGAAGCTTTGGGTTCAAATCCCAGCTCTGCCACTTACTTGCTCAAGTTCGTTCACCTTTCGGCAATCTTAATGTCCTCCTCTGCAAAGTGGTGGTGAGAGAAGAGTCTACCTCCCACGTATCTTAGAAGAAGGAAATGAGATCCCGTATACAACACACTTGCCACAGTGCTTGGCACATAGTAAGTGCTCGGTAATGTCAACTCCAATTCTCATTCTTTCCTCTCTAACATATAAAGAAGAGGGGAGGAGGGATCCAGAAAGAATAATGTGCCACTGTTTGAAAAGCATTTATCTGATCTGTGTCTAACTTCCCATTTTACGTGTAGCAAGCACTAACCCTGTGGCAGTGAAAATACTGTAAATGTGAAAAAGCCCTGCATCTCTCTGTGGTGTCTGGACAACCCTGGCACTTGGAACAGGAAGGAGAGAACAAGAAATCCCTGTGCTTTTCCTTTTCTTCCTTTCCAAACACGTGTGCAGACTTCCCCTGCATTTCAGCCCCACCCTCTTTATTTTACTGCCTAATCTATAAAGGAGGATTAACAGCTGCACGCTGCTTTGGCATAGAGCAGATTCTGGGTGAGGACCTGTAGGTAGAGTCTAATGAATACAATTTTCTAGGACTGTGAGTGCATATTTTTAGCTGCATGCTGGGCTCCAGTGTTGGCTCTTGAGACAGAGGAACAGATCCTTTGATCAGACTTGGGTGTTGCTCCCAGAAGAACCTTTTTTGGGAAGTAGTTGGGGAAAAATGTCTTCTGTTTCCCAGATTTGTCATTTGTACTCTTATCAATTCAGAGTCCAGATAACTGGTCCCAGTAAGTCTCACTACAACACTGAGATACACCCGTGTGGGAAGCAGAGGTACTCCCAAGCAGGAACAGCTCCACTTTCTGGCAAGAGAGGGTGGCTGGTGCTCGAGCATGTGGTTGTTATCCTTCCCCCTCAGAGAATAAGCTAGAGGTAGTTAACCTTCCCGGGGGAGGCTTGGCCCAGACAACATCATAGACACCATATCCCCCCTGGAGTTACCCAACAATAAAACTGCTTCCTTTGCCAAACACAAAGAATGGTCTAGAGTTGGATATTAGGAAAGAGCAAACCATATAAAGAAGAAAGGGAGGGAGGGAGGGAGGGAGGGAGGGAGGGAGGGAGGGAGACAAATGAAAAGGAAAATAGAAGGGAGGATGGAGGAAAAGAAAGAAAATACATGAAAAGAAAGAATAACGCCAGGTCTTTTCTGCTTTGGTTTGCCAGCGACAAGGCTGCCATCCAGTGTGGTCTTGATTTTAACCAGTGCCATGGCAGGGATGGGGGGGTGGGGGCGGGTAGTGAAGAGGTTTCCATGTGGGGCCAAGCGGGGCAGGGATGAGGCGCCAGGTCTTGTGGAAATGCTGACTCTAAGACCTTGGCAGTTGGAGAGTGTGAGCAAGATGGTAAGTGATTTGATCTCTTACATTCCTACTCAGGACCCTCTCCTTCTCTTTCTAATAGGATTAACAGATATTTTCCTAAGCAGAAATCAAAATGTGTCAAATCATCTGAGACAGTCAATTTGTTCACAATGCCCACATTCTTGCAGTACGGATGCAGCACTATTCAAAACCAGTTTCATTTCAAGAGATACAATGCAGCAGAGAGGTAAACATTTATCTTCATAATCTTAGACTCCTTTCAGACTGCTTAATTTTTCCCAGTGATTTTCCCCTCCTCTCTCACTCCACCCCCAAGCTCTGCTTCAAAACATTTAGTACAAAAAAGACATGACTTCCCCAGAGGATTCGGGTCTCAGTGATCCTGATGATGCAACGTGTGCTCTTCATTATTCCTGGGAGCTCCCTGGATGTCTCTCTGCATCCCGCCTCACTGCTTCTGTTGTCCCTAGGTTTGCATCATTCACAAATCTTCTTGAAACACCTGTGAAGGTGACTTCCACCTCTTCCTCCTACCTCATCCCAAGTTAGCAGAACTCCTTCCCCCCTCCACCCCACCCGTGCTTTTTTCTCTTATTGCTGTTTTTGTATTATCTTCGTCCCCACCAGCACAGCCCTCCGCAGCTTCTCCTTAAGAAGCATTAAGTTGCCTTACTTTGTGCTACCTTAAAACTGCTTGTCCTCCTCCAGCTCCCTTTTGACACAAGGACCAGTGTCACCTTTGGAACAATGAATGAAAGTAGTTAGAGTGGGATTCCAACTTCACATTGTTGGCATTCCTGAAAATCTCAGGAGTTTTCATTTCCCCCACCTCCTGGAGACCCCATAAGATATCAGCAAGTAGAAGCTCTGAAATGAATAGAAACAATAGCTACTGGTATGTTTTATTCTTAAGGTTTGAATAGTAGACACTGAGCAAGGAGAATAAAGTCTCACTTTTTCCTTTTTTCTTACCATTTGTATATTCAGTACACATGTATAGATAGTTTTTTTTTTTAAGTAGATTGCTGACAGCATTTTCTGTAATAACATATTTTCCGTTGATGTATTTTAGGTGTCTATTTAACCATAATGCTCTCTGTGATCATGGTGTCAAAATATAATGAATTGGTCCATTCTACCTAGAAAGCCCTCACCACCATTTTCCCTTCCCACCTGTTAAAATCCTATTCATCCCGCAGGATCCAGCTCACACCGTTTCTCTGGGAAATTATCCCAGATCCTCCCTGGAGAATTCTCCCTCCCTCACTGCTCGCATTTCAGGTGTTTATGCCTCTGCTCTGATTGGAGTCCAAATTGTATTCCGGCTGTTGCTGATGTGTCTGTACAATGAGACTATGAGGCCTGGAGGACAAAGAACTTACGTCCACCTTTCTGGACTCCCTGCCACTCCTAGAAGTGGGCCTCACATTGCAGAAGGGGGCTGTCACCTGAGGACAAAGTGTGGATGACCGGCCGGCCTTGCCAGCCTGAGAAGAGCCCACCAGTTCCTGTTGGGGGTCCTCTCGGAGGAGAGCAACATGAAGCCACTCCTGGCCCGCTCATCCTACCCCATAGCTGACAATGATTTCGAGACTTCCCTACATTAGAATTTTTAATACTTTCTCATCTAAATGCTCATCTTTAGTAAATACATAACTAGATGGATTGTGAAGTGAGGGAATTAAAAAGTGCTATCTTGTATCTGAACAAATAAATCATTTATATTAGCTCTTCTGTTTCTAGGCTGGTTTGGAATTGGCAACAAATACTAAGGCATCAGAACTCTTTGACATGGTGCATTCATTTATTTATTATTTTTTTAAGTGCTCTGACAAGTTGTTTACTAGGAGCCAAATGTCAATTAGTATTGGCCCAAAAAGGAGTTGCTGTGCTTCATGTGTTTGTATGTAGTCTTCGAGTCATCCTGATTATTTTGGCTTTTATTTGCACAAGGTATTTATCTTCAAAGACTCACCACCACCACAACAAAAAAAATCCTACTTAGTATTTTAACATTTGCTTAAAACCATACCTTGCTGGCAACCCTATCATTTCAGTCTTGAATTTTTTCTCCTGATAAGGCAAATGACACTTTAGCCTTAGTTAATGTAAAACAGGAAGGTGTTAATCTCATTTTCAACATGTCAGCTCTTCCAGGTAGAGTATTAATACGCAAGATCTCCTGCTGGCAGACTCAACAGAATCTTTCTGGCTGTGAAGAGAAGCCCAAACCTGGTAATTTTTGCTTTCCTTTATTGTATGTGTGC